ATTTTGGCGGGACCGTGTGTGGGTGCCACGCTTACCTGGGGGCTGGGTTTGAGCCCACTAATACCCGTTTGGGCGGGAAACATTACCCCAAGATTTCAGCCTTCTAGCTTCTTAGATTCCCGAGTTATGAACTGACCCCAAAAAAACTTTGGTGGGCTCGCACGCGGGTGCCACGCGGGTTTTGGCTCCTATTTTGGGGATTGGGGCCGGCACATGCATGTAGATTAAGTTCCCGAAATTTCAGCCCCGCAGCTTTTATAGATCGTGAGATGAAAGTGCGTGACAGACGCACACACAGACACACGGGCAACCTCTCGTCAATATGCGTTTTTCGCATTGCATTGCTGCAAAAAACGCATAATTATAAATTCCGCCTCTCGGACTTTCTTCGATATATCCCCCCACTTCTGCGTTGCATCCATGACGACCGTACAACGGATTTCTGTGAATGAGGCTCCGCTAAAACGAGATGAGCATCGGAGCCAGGTGCTGTTGAGCGATGAATCGCTGTGTCTTGGCAACACGCTGTTGGGCGATGGTACAAGGTATTTTGTTTTACAACGAAAATACAGCAGCACTGGAGTTGAAAGGCGGCGACAGCATCCTGACCTTGTAGAACACAACTGGAAACAAACATAATATTAACTGTGTAGCACAAGACGGCCAAGGCGAGCATTTAGATGCGGTGATCTGTACACGAGTATACAAAACAAGGAGCACGGGGTTGAGATAAGCAGGAGGGAGATAGGATGAGGGCAGGAAGTTCTCTTGTACGTTTTCTGCTACGCTTGCTCATTTACTTCTCGACTTATTGTCGCACTTTTTTGCCGGTAATTCTTCATCCAACAAAGTACTTGTGTTCGAAAATAGGAAACATCGTCTGCCTTGCTAGCGGATCTTCTATTACCCAAATATCTCCTTCTTTCGTAGACAGCTAATACAGAGTAAGCTTCGTCTTTGATTTTGAATGTATTTGGATCAGTTCTGATTAAAATTCTGATTCTCCAATCCTACTGATGAAGTTTTTCCAGTAGCTTTGACCAACACTGCTTCATTCACCAACACTGTTAGTTTGCTGGCCGATTTGTTCTTTTCTTCCCTTTAAGGCATCATTGATATTCTTGGCATGTGCTGAGCATTAACAGTTCATTTCAAAAAACTTCTGAACTTCGTTTTAAATAGCCTACCATCTGAGATTGTTTGATATTAAAAGAAATCGAAAATAAATTTTATTTATTTTAGCGAGTTATCAGACTGTTCCGTCGCATCATCCTGTGACGTTTCAACAAGGGCCCAGCCATTACACTCGTCCATCCATTGCCACTGGCCGTAAGTTGTTTCTGTATTAAATGTAAAGCTCGTTCTTATTTCGATTTGTTTTGTTTTGCGTTTATTTGTCCGCTTTAATTGCTAAGCCTTTTTTGGTAGCACTGAGATTTTAAATCTGTTGGAAATCTTGTCGCTTTTGGTTTGCTTGGAAAGGCACGACATTCAAATCTGTCGGAATTAATTCTTGGGAACACCAGATAGCAAGGCTAGAGAATAGCTCGATCTTTTGATGGTTGCTTGGGAAGTATGCTGAAAACAACTTCACTTTTCAAATCCTCGGCAGT